GAGCGAGGTGAACCCGCTGGCCTGAGTTTTGCAGGATGGAGATTTCTTTCACCTGAGAGCACAGAGCAAACAGCAAGGTTGCAGCGCAGAGCAGACACCTGGCAGCGCTGACGTGACCTTGTCGCACCCGGTCCCTGCCCGAAAGCACCCAGATGGGATATAAACTGTCCTGGTGCCGTAGCGGGAAGCCGTGACCCGGCAGTCGAGGATGGGCCGCTGGCCTGAGTTTTGCAGGATGGAGATTTCTTTCACCTGAGAGCACAGAGCAAACAGCAAGGTTGCAGCGCAGAGCAGACACCTGGCAGCGCTGACGTGACCTTGTCGCACCCGGTCCCTGCCCGAAAGCACCCAGATGGGATATAAACTGTCCTGGTGCCGTAGCGGGAAGCCGTGACCCGGCAGTCGAGGATGGGCTTGATGCAGGTTTAATAATTGATTAGGAAGGTGATGGAGATGCTGGCTGCAGTGGCCTGGAGCTGCTTCACCCCCTGTTTCCCTGTTTCTGACGTTTTCCCCGTCCCTGCAGTCATCCTGACGGACGAGGAGGTTCAGAGGAAGCGCGAGATGATCCTGAAGCGCAAGGAGGAGGAAGCGCTCAAGGAGAGCCTGAAGCCCAAACTCTCGGAGGAGCAGCAGAAAGTCATCGACGTCCTCCTGGAGGCTCATCGCAAAACCTACGACTCCACCTACGCCGACTTCACCAAGTTCCGGGTACGTCCTGCCCCGGTGCACCAAACCCCCCTCATCCCACAACTTCTCCCTAGACGGGAGTTAAAAATCCCAGGGCAAAATTCACCTGCCACCACATTGCTCTCCCAGCCCCGTCCCTCACGTCCTGCTCTCTCTTCCAGCCCCCCATGAGAAGCGGTTCCAGCAGCACAGGGGCAGCAAGGTCCTCCTCCGTCCTCACCCAGGACCTGTCGTCGGACGACTCCACCGACCTCTTCGCCTCCGATGCCTTCGGCACGTTTCCAGGTACCACGCTCGCCTCTCCAGCGGTGACAGGGGTCCAAGTGCAACTGCTTTACCTAAATCTCACCATTCCAACCCCAGTTTTACCTCTTCTGGGGAGCTTATTTAATGGTAAGACCCTCCTGGGGGTGTCGCAAAGGCTTTTTGTGAGCGAAAAGCATGAAGTGTTCAGCTGGATCCGTGTGTCCGAGTCCTCCAGGATGGCCAAGAGGAGGGAACACAAATGCTGGGCTGCTCCGTGGCCGCTCGGGCTGTGGTTAGGACAGGAGTTAAAGGTCCCAGTGCGAAACCTCGATGGTGCTGACCGCTCTCCCAGCCCCGTTCCTCGCGTCCTGCTGTCCAAACGCAACGCAAAGTCCTCCTGGTGGGGCGGATGGCATTCCCGCTGCGGGCTGGCGTCGCTCCCCTCGCCCGTAACGTCTCGCCTGCCACCAAGGCACCTTCTGACCGTCTCCCTCTCTCCAGAGTCTGTGGAGCCCCAGATGTTTTCGAACCTGGTCCTCTCCGAGGAGAACGACGAGAGCTCCTCCGTGAACATCAACTTGTCCCACCTCTCCATGCTCCCGCACGTGGCCGACCTGGTCAGCTACAGCATCCAGAAGGTGATCGGCTTCGCCAAAATGATCCCGGGATTCAGGTGAGACGTTTGCTCCCAGACCTGATGTCCATGGTGGTTTTCCGCTCTCGGGAATCCCATCCTGCCCTTTGCAGCAAGATCATTTTTCTCTGTTTCATCTTCACAGCTGTCCCTCTGGCTCTGTTCCCTTCCCAGGTCTGTTCCTACTTTCACGTTCTCCGTCTCTCCTCCTTCCTGGGGTTCCTCCTCTCCTGTCTTTACCCCGATTCACCCAGACTCTGTCAACAAAACTCTTGAGCTCCTAAGATGCTCAAGGCCACATGAGCAGTTCCCATCCTGGTTTGTGAAGGACCACAGGTCCTCTTCAACTCCAGGCTGGTGCCCAGGGCGCTGGGCAGTGCCACTGAGTAAATGCAGCTGCAGAAACACCTAAACACTGCTTAGTTGCACAGAAACCCGGAGGGAGGGAGAAGCTGAGGTGCCCCGAGCAAAGGGATGAGGTTACCCCTGGAGAACCTGGCGCGTGGGTGGACAGGGGCCATTCCTTCGCTCGCCGCGCGGGTCCCGCGTCACCCTCTCCCCCCTTCCCAGGGACCTGACAGCAGAGGACCAGATCGCGCTGCTGAAATCCAGCGTCATCGAGGTGATCATGCTGCGCTCCAACCAGTCCTTCAGCCTGGAGGACATGACGTGGACCTGCGGCAGCAATGACTTCAAGTACAGGACCAGCGATGTCACCCAAGGTAAAGGCACTGCCGGGCTCCCCGGCTTGCTGCGGGATGACAAATGTCATCCCAGCCTTAAATTCAGAGGGAAAAACCCCGCACCGAGTAGTTGACAAGCAGGGATGCGTTGGCAGGCTGTGGAAAACGGCAGCACCAGCGGCTCGGCGATGCCACGGCTGGGCTGAGACCCCCATCCCGCCGTCAGCCGTGCTCCCGTTATCCCAGCCTTCCCACCGCCGCCGCTCTGCAGCCAGGGCAAGGTGGTGAATCCAGCCCTGAAGCTCCCCCGCTTTAGGATTTGGGGAGCAGCACGGAGAACAGGGGGTGCAGATGAGATACGTGCACCTGGCATCTCGCCCTGCGCGTGGAGGAGCCTCAGAGGAACTCGGGA